TGTACAGGCCATTAAGATATACCTTATTTTGCGGTAACACAACAGTAAGCAAAAATGCTTACCTGATTAAGGGACAGAGAGCATCTTTCCATCAGAACAAATACTACAGGAACTGTAAAGGGAAATGTTCAGCGAAGTCTTAGCTAACTAATGGCAACTAACAAGCAAGAGGACAGTCTGGAAAGGCATTTCACACTGAGATACCAGTACAAGTCTTCAAGAATTATGTACAGCCAGCACCATGAAACCATTTCAAAGTTCAACTGCTGCAGAGAAGCTTTAGTTTCATGAAGTTACTTGTTAGGGTCACTTCATTCTCAAGCTTCCTCTTTGTAGCTAGGAGGATTAGTATATCCCTCAAGCAATTTATGAGATATTTTAGTGAGAACACGTAGGCCTTTTCTTAAAATTAGCTTTATTTTTCAATAGCATGAAATTTTTCATGATAATCTAAACATTTAAAATTTGTAATCCATGAGAGTGCTATTTAGATAGCTATTCTTAATGCAACACAATTAGCAACAATGTTATGTACAACCTCAAAATTTCTTTACATCAGCTTTATCCTCATTATTTCTGCTCAAGGGAACTGACAGCCAACAGTAGTCTACCAGGTGTGCTTGCCAAAGAAGTATAAAATGGTTATTTATTTTTAAGATGTCAAGTATATGTTAAGATTGCCAAGAACATAATCAGTTAATTCTGTCAACTTTGCCATTTTTACAGCAATCTATTCACTTCTAGTATTATAGTGAGCCTACCTACTCAAAGGACAAAAATGGTTTTAATTTTTCACTCTACATCCTCAGTTCTCATCTCATTCTCCGTCCCAGTGCTGATCAAATGGATATACATTCAATTCAAAGCTAAAAGGAAGTAAAAACATATGGTTTACTCCTAATTGGGCAGATCTTATAAAAATCACTTTGGTTTAACAGTTCTGTTTGATGAGCTGTCATACAAGGGAACACCTGGGCTTATAAAGCCCACCAAGTTCTCACCTGCTAGTTCTGCCCAAGTCACACAACTCTCATACATTCCTCTGCTAACACTGCGGCACCATTTAAGCCTCTCAAGCAATCAATCAGACCAAGGACCATTTCAGATCTTCAGCAGGTGTCTTCACACTTGGCATAAGAATATTAAGCTGAGAGCAAGGGCCAAAATGGTCAATTTGCAGTAGAAAAACCATTGCCAACATTCCTTTTCCACACAGTCACTGGAGCTTTAGCTGAAGCGAACCAGCAACGTGAAGGCAGTAAATGTGAACTAAATACAACAGTAGGAGTGAGCATAAGCATCCTTCACCAACCCTAGACTGCATTTCTTCTCTTTAAAACACACTTACTTCCATTTTTATGTCCATGTTAAGTAATAAAGCACTCAGATCTATTTAAAGAAAAAATCTGTATGGCTTAAGGCTATAATTCCCCCATGAGATTGCTTCACAGTAAACATGTGAAAAACATGTTTCCTAGACAAGCCTCACTAATTATGACTAATGAAAAACAAACAAGAAGCCTTTCTTCTCCATGCAATCTACTGTTAATTTATATTGTTAGATTAAAAAACACCAACAAACCACCACACTGAAAAATTGGTCTTCCATTTTCTGAACAGCAGTGACTTTTTATATTTTTAGCATTTGAAGTAGTGTCATATCTGCCATTTCTACATTTACACAATACTGGCACTTCTATTATAAAGAAAAGCTTCTAGCCCTTCGGGCTAGATAATCAGCCGCCCCCCAAACTTGGAAATTTGATCACAGTCTTATTTGATCTAAATTACAAGTTACAAAAAATAAACAGCAGTTTAAGATATAAACGACTTGAGAACAATTAAGTTTCAATGCACAGACATTTCTATCAAAAATAACGCTATGCCATCAGAAGTTTAAATTTATTTCCAAGTGTTCAAACTGTTATTACACATACATCATTATTTTTATTTGAACATTAAGATAATTACAGTTGGAGGGTTCATATTTCCAGCGGCCTCTCTGCAGAAGAGGCCACCAGAACAAAACATTCAACATTCCACATGACATTTGAGTTACCAAAACTACAATTACCTTTTTTTTTTTTTTTTTGCCAGCAGATCACAAAGAGTACATAAATGGGGCATTTCCTTTAACAGAAATATCAGCGTATCAGTACTGCATTTTTTTAATTTCAATATGGATATCTATACAGAAGAGCAACATTGCAGGTGACATTTTGATTTAGCACACATATGGGATTTTTGCAAATGCCTTTTTTAAATCCACAGTAATTTTAACTTATAAAACATATTGCTAATATGCCCTGCATAAATATCAATAATCAAATTCATTCATCTTCAGCCACTTCAATAGAAAAAGGGAAAAGTGTTTATTTTGCTCATCTTAGAGATTTTTTTATATATGCAGTTTTCTTCTATGGAAGAAAACCTTTCTTTACACATGCTAACCACTATTTTGTCTGCAAGAAAATCTTCATTCAGAAAATCTGAACTTTCTTCTCAAATTAGAAAACTTCAGCCATAGACGGTACTTGTATGACACATCACAATTGTTCACATCAAAACACTAAATGTGTTAAATTTATAGCAAATTGGCAGTCACTTGATGTTCAGTGAATTCCCTCAAAATTCAGCACTTCACGTTCCATTTTTTAAGGTCCATTTTAAGTTCAACTGGGAAGCTATTTGGTGACCTTTTTTGTTGGACATTCATACAGATGTTAAAACTGGCTCAAGTAAAATATATGACATTTTATCAACATTACAGGCAGGAATGTAGCTGGCAGATGAAAAACCATCTCTAAACACACAAGCTAAGTAAAACCAAATTGCCCCAAATATTATCAAGTATCAAGAAAAACAGATCGGATGAACAGTTCCAGCAATCACCACCACTAAAACTCAGCAAGGAATTTGTCTATAAGAGGAACGAGTAGTTCTTGGTTAATACTTACTTACTTCTTTGCTCATCCTTACCACCAGTTTCCACAACAGATCACTATACTAAAACTTTCACCTACTCTCCCCAAAAGCATAAATTTAACTCTCCACCTTGCTGAGCACAACTATATTGTACTCCAATTCACAACTGCCCTCCAATGACCTACTGCCACAGTCCCATAAGTGAGCACAAGGTTCCCTCCATGATAATCATGCACTTTTACATAGTCACATGAAAGTTGAGGTAAAATAGGTGAAAATTGGTGGCAAAATTACAGATTTAAAGGAACAATTTTTCATATGTACATATGGCAAACACAAGGACTGAAAACTAGTCGACAGTGACCTGAAGGAACACTTGCATTCACTCATCTAATAAGTTTTAGACTACATATTCTATTTGGTCCAGATATCCCTACAAGTAAATCATTCCAAAATAGGTGCTCAAAATGCAGCTGCTACCATAAAACATCTTCTCACCATTTTAATCACTCTCAAACAATTCCTAGGAACCTCAGACTGCCAAGACACACAAAATGACTGTTGAACAAAGCAACAGTTAAATTAAACAATTATACTTGTTGGATATCTCCACCTGCTTTAACTTGCCCATTGAGAAATTTCAAATAAAATTAAAATTAAATCAAGTCTCCTTTCCTCACAACATAACATTTGTATTGAATGACAAACGCTGCATCACAGAAGCAGCCTGTGTATGGCACTGAACAGGACTTCCACGCATGACTGCAGTATAAATTATATTAAGGTATTCCAAAATTAAACAAATAGCAAATCCAGTTATCTATACAAAATTTTAAAAATACAGTAAATTTAACATCAAATGGAAAAATTACAGTAGAACTAATAGATTGTACATTCACTATATGGTCTTGAAATGTCATTTTTCATGAAGCAGATTTTTCTTCTTCCTTCGATTAACTAAATTAAGTCAGAAAATGAACTCTTCACCACATCAGCTAACAAGTTACTTCACTGTAGTTATTGTCAGCTAACATTTATCTTTCACCTTTAATTTCTATACTGGAGTCCCCGTTCCTCTCCAAGGAAGACTCAAACATTGTGTTTTTTCCTTCTTGATTTGTCTCAACACCTACCAAAATCCCCTTGACTTGGGAGATCATTTCATCTAATGCAGCTTCCACCACTTCTCTTACCAGAGCAGCAAACTGACAGACAAGTGACATTTACTAGAACCATGATCCGCTACACACCAGTGCTCCACTGTGAGCACTAAATGTTCTGTACAAAAGAGAAAATAAGTTATGCACATGTAAGCCACACAGAGCAAGCAAAGATAAATGATTTGAGCAGAGAATAATGATAGGGCAGAAGCATGGTAGTCAACTGTTCTGGCTACAGCAATTGTTTAACCTGTGTTATAGCTTGGTTTGAACATCTTTGTTTATGCAAACCTTAAAAAGGCAGGTTAAGTGTTCTTGCCTCCAGAATAGCTAACCAATACACGCTCAAGAATGAACTGAATGCAAAGCTTGGAAAGGTTACCCAAATAATAATCAAACTGGGAGCTTTAAAATTTCTTTAATCTGAGGGATATATCTACTACTCTAAAAGTTTATCCATCACCTTCTAAAATCTAGTGTCCAAGAAAAAAGGGTAATTGCATTTTCTAAGTCAACCAAGCTATAAAAAAATCAAAAGGAATGGTGGGTGGCTTGTGTTCAAGTGTTATTGTTTATCATAACACCTCATGCAATAATTCAAAAAAAAGTCTATATACTCGTAAGTGTTTACATCTGAATAAATAGGGTAAATTAGTAAATAGAGTATTTAAAATTATCTACAAAAATGTTTTACTGGGTATTCACTGTTTGCATTAAGTCTTAAAGAAAACAGCATCCAGAGAAATACCAAAGAGTATGAAATAAAAGAAAAAAGGAAACAGAGACATTTTAAGAATCTCCCCAGAAAAATAATTCATATCAGCAGTTAACTAAACCGAACCAAAACTAAAACAAATATTATAATTATCAGGTGGCCTTCTGAAGCATCTTCAAACAAAAGGCCATAAACAGCTATGCTTTACATACTATTGTTTTGTTTATTTTATACCATGAGGTGGAAGCAACATTTTCCTTTTAGTAAAGTATACACAAATAGCCTCACTCAGAATACACTTTTAATGCACATAAAAAAAGATTCATCTTACAAATTGTTTTGCAATCCAAATATACAATAGCTTTGAAAACAGTATTTTAGAAAACAAAAGCTAATGTAAAAAGACTGCTTAAAACAACTACAATGATAAACATTTCTTTATGGCTCTGTCTTTACAGTTTTCTTACTGCATCATCAATATCAGAAATTTGTTCCTTCAGCTGGTTCCACTGTTCTGGATTTAAAGAAATACCTGAAACACATTAAAAAAATACTTAGTACAAAAAGAAAACTGAAGTTCAGGATCTTGCACACTTACTAGTAAGACTGATTTAATGTTTAAAGACCATCACAAAAATGTCAAACCTATTAATGTTTCAGCTGCTTCAAGTGCAATAGCTATCTCATTTAATTACATAGTAACATACCTACCAACTTTGAACACTTCAGTTTAGTTTTAATGATTATTTTGTGACTGAGCTTTTATGTATTTGCATATAATTTTGGGGGTATCTTTTTTCAATTACTGTTTACTGCAAATTATTGTATTATTACAAATTATACATGCTATCAGTAGCATCTTGGAGATAATCTCTTCCACTCCCTAGAACTCACAAATCAACAAGAAGGTCACTTCGTTTGGTTTGTTGTTTTGTCCCGTTTTACTACAGGTCCACTCTAAGTTTAGTGACACGCAATGTATAAACCTGGAAGTTTAGTCAAAAAGCCATCTAGAATGCTGAGAAAGGATTACAGCTACAGTGGTGTTTTAACATATTATGCTAATCTTCCTAAATAATTGCTGTTGTGCTAATCATGTAGTTAAAAGTCTTCTCCTGCCTTTTTCTTTCATAGTCTTGATGTTAAAGTATCCTGTTGTATACTGCCTTCCATTTAAAGAATGGAATCCTTAATTTATTAAAACATACCATGAGAACATACCAGCTATAACAAAGGGCACTAAGCCTTTGCAGTAAGTTTCCTTGCTTAAGTCACATGTGTTTTAGAATAAGTTTTGTATTTTTTACATTTAGGTGGTTAATTTCCTTTAGCTCTTTTAAATCTTAGCCCAGAACTACAGAAATAATTAATAATAGTTTTAATGTATTCCTTGACCCTGCATTCATATTTTCTTCATATTTTTAAAATGCATTTAAAAATGAGAACAAAATTTTCAATGCTTACTTATTAGTCCTCCCTGAGCAAAATTCAGATAGACAAGCAATGTTTTTCCTTCCTCTTTACACTTATCTCTTATTTAAGACACCAAATGCAATATAAATTGCATAAATGTTACTTAGAAACTGAGAGCTTTTTTTCCTCTAATTCTGTTACCATTTCCAAAAAATTCTCCTTGATCATCCAGTTATTTTAGTCACATCACAGATTCATTTCAGCTAATTTCAGCAGCAAACACCTTGCTTGTTTTCCCATATGTACCACTTCCACAGAAGTTATGGCAGGTGTGTTTTCACAGCACAGCACCATTTACTTTATTTGTATGCTTCAAACTTAGTGGGTCTTTTGAACTGACATAAAAAAATAGGCCAAGTGTTTGAAATACCCAGTTTTCCTTTCTTCCCAAGGCACATCTGTTTTCCTCTAAATCTCAACAACAGTAAATGCTATTTCTAATTTTGTCGAAGACAATAGCCATCGGCTAATGCATTCACTCCAACTTTGGTTGGACTTTGGTTTCTTGTAATACAACAGTTGCCGCTTCCCACTGGCTCTGTAAAAGCTTGAGCTCAGCTTGGAAATTAACAGAAGACACAAAGGTACAGATGAATTTTGGTACATAAATTCTGTCCTAGACTACAATAGCAATTCTCAGTTTTAGGACTACAAGACCACAGGAATGGAAGATATTTCCCTTGTGTCCTCATATGGCTTAATCCCTTGCCAAACATACACATCATCAGGCTTCTATTATCACTCAACATGACCCACACTTGCACAAAAATTTTCTGCTTCCTAATCTTATTCCAGGGAAGTCTTCCAACAAAATCCCCCAGGATCTTTTCCCAGCTGTCCCTCAGTCACTACACTAATCCCAGAGTCATCCTCATCTAGCAGCAAGGTTAGGCCTGTGCTGACGAATCTTAAGGTCCAGCATTACTTCCCAAACCAGTTTCATCACAAATCTGACAAACATCCTCATCACTCTTCTTAATTCCTAATTCCTCAAGCTACAGTCCAAAACCATATTTTCTTTCCAAGATAAGCAGCTCACATGTGCGCCAACAGAACATTTGTGCTGTATCAGATTTCCACTTTATCGTGATAAAATTCAAACCCTTCTGTCAGATAAATACCTTCATGTACATCATGCAGCTTTGATCAGAGCCTACTACTGATCTACAGATTAGCTAGGGACAAGACACTCTTGTCAATTAGCAAAAAACTTCAATTGATCTTTAGTCACATCTACATATTACTATCACTTCACCTACCCACCAAATCTTAAGGTGGTTTCCCAGTCAATAAACAGCATGTACTTTTGATCACCAGCTCTAAACACAGCAATCTGAATTCCTTCAAAGAGTAATTTTTTTTGGGAAACAGAACCACAGAATGGTTGAGATTGCAAGACAGCAGCAAATAGCAGCAACACATGCAGGACGAAGTTTTCCCATACAGTATCTACATATACATGTGATATTTAATTTTGAAAATATATGTGATTATTTAATTTTGAAAATACCTCAGGTTTTCTAAGCAACCTATGATGTTCTTATAAACTGTGTTGCTGCTGAATACACCAGGAGATGTAACAATGAACCTTATGTTAATTCAATATTAAATGACTCCAAACTCCAGAAGAAACATTCCACACTTACCTTTTTTCTTTGGTGGTATATATAAAAAAACTAAAAACTAAGCTTTTCTAACAAAAGCAATGTGATGTTGATATTTGCACTACCTCAACAACTTATCTTCATCTTGAAAGTGACAATTCATGAAGGCATGTCATAAAATTGTTAACAGTACAACTGCTTAAGCTGTTTTACAGACTGGTTTTACAATACTAAACCTCAAATTTGCACGCTATTTCCACCTAAAGTCTTAAAACATTTTTTCCAAAGTTAATCACATGATTAGATGTTTTAATTTTAATCTGAAGTTGGACAGAAATTGATGAATGTAGTTGTTTTTTTTATTTACACCTTAACCTTAAGAAATTAAACTTTAAACTCGAAGCAGGTAAGTGCTAAGTTCATTGTGGGAGAGGAATGGCTATGTTTATATTATCTATAATCAATTTGCTTGTATCTGATGCTTTATTTTGCACAAACCATGAATTTCCCTAAACCAACATTCATTTAGGAAACAATCAGTACAGCAGGCAAGTAGAAAACAACCTCAGGCTAATGAAACTGTTTTGTTTTTGATAAGCTGTAGGCAAGATTGATCAAAAAACTAAAGATAACACTCTAAAAACATACATTCAGTTATAAAGTGCAAGAATCTGATACACTGGATTCTCCAATAAACTGCACCCAACTCTTTATTGCAAAATAATACAAGCAAAAAATACCTTTTCTGCCAGGCTTCATTTCACCTTCTTGATCCATCCAATATTCTCTAATATCAATTAAGACTTTCCCTTTAAAGTCACGAACACTGACATACCTCATTTTGCCGATCTGTCAAAACATATGTAAACATCTATTAGGTATTTTACATAGTACAGTATTCACTTTTCCAAACAGCACTATACTTGGACATGTGACATTGCAGGCTACAGCTTATTTTAGACACCAGAGAAACAACTAGTTCAAGAGCCTAATCCAGAGTAGTTTGTAGGCTAATAAGAAATGACAACATAAATAGATGAAGGATTTAAAACCTGTTCAGAATTCAGCATTCTTTTCTGGAAAAATAGGTGGCATAGAACAAAAGTAATTATATGCCTAACAAGCTAGTTTCTTATAAATAAGCACTATTTTACTGTTTTCTGGAATAAAATTTAACCTCCAATTTTTTTTGAAATTGGAAGGTACAAAGAGGGAAAGCACAATCAGCTCTACTTCCAAGTCAAAGCTTTAGATCATTCCGTATTAGATACTTATATGAGAAGTACAGCCCCTGGAGTTCCCCTGTAAACACTTGTGAAAGTGAGTAATGTATTCGTGAAATTTCCACACACGCATCCTGTACCCCTGTAAATACTTGTAGAAGTGAAAAGACGACACCAACTGTTCCACGCTTGCCCTTGAGTCCTCACAATATTTGTTGACACAGTCGACACAAGAGTATCTTGCTGCACCGGAAGTCCAGAAATATCTGGTCCTTTAAGTTTACCAGCATGTAGCATACATTGATATTTTCTTGGTTACAACACACTTTTGAACTTCATAACTTCTGCAACATAAAAGTTTGTCTGGACTACAGGCTTTTGCAAGCTCTCCTCCCACTTTTTTTTTTTTTTTTTTTTTGCAGAAGTTGGGGAGTAATCCATATTTAGGCTTACTAAAGCTGTCTTAAATTTGATATCAAATAGATTCACACGTTTTTTTCCCTGCTTCCAGGCATCTTTTAAATAGAAGAAAAGGTTACCACCTCTAAGACAATATTTTGATTTATTATTTTCACAGTTCTTCAAACATCCCAAAATAAGATATGATGTCACAGAAGCTGAGTTATTTCAGATTTAACTGCCATGCCCAAATCTGTCAGCATTGCTGGCAAAGAATATTCTAATTGAACTGCATAAACAATGGTTGTAGTTTTGTAGCATAATACTTCAGTGATTTTTGTTTCCCTAAAAAAACCTGTTCCAGTGATATATTCCTCCCGAACATTTGCTCCATGGTTCTAGAAAAGAATTCCAAAATTGTTCTAAGAAATACAATGTACATTAGCCAATGTACACTATGCAAACACTGTCACAAACAGTTTAGGACTTCAATGTTAAGGATGAGACTACCTACCTTAGTTACAGCAAGATGAGGGTTAAGAATATAAAATGTGCATTACTTAATCAGTATATTTACTTAAGTAGAACTATTTCCGTATGAAAAATCTGAAATAAAGATAAGCTTTATACCTCTGTTTATATGTCACAGCTCAATGCTCACATTAAATTTAGCATGGTCTGTTGCACTCTAAGCCGAACAGTTCTCATTTTAAGGCTTTAAGTTAGTTTTAATTAACATCTATGGCTAGAAGACACAATCAAAACTCTATATCAATTATGTTGATGTTTCTTAGAGTTCAATTGCCTCTAAATCTGGCACTGAACTTTTCTGAACCATTCTTTTTCTCACACAGTAGCTGACATTCCTAGAATAACTTCACTGACATAAGATACCTTTGCAACACCATAACGACAATTGTGTTCCAAGGGTTATATTGCTTTATTTAAAACGGTGTAGCTACTGCTGTACAGTCTTCATAGCAAAGTTAACACATTCTTTATTAAATATCACAGCCCTTCAGTTTGAAGGCACACTATTCGATTAGTAGAGAACATTACAAACATTATTTCCAGGTTTCTATTTCTTAGAATAAAACTCACTGAACTGTGTCTAGGTTCCTTTCACAGCTATGCAATTCACTTCCTGTGTGACTTTAAGCAAGCATCCTCTTCACAATTTTCCCTCCTATTTCTAGTTTGCCTTGGTTAAATTCTATACACTCTGTGGAAGTAGAAACAAAAAAGCATCTTATTCTTAGCTGACAATATGTATAGTTTGAGGGAACATTTAAGCTAGTATAAGCTCCTAAAATAGAAACTCCTGTGAACAGTTGAAATAAGCATTACATCAATTTGGTTTAGCACATTAATTCTGAAACTTACATGGTCACCAGTTCAACACCATTCATCATTTCACAGTCACTTTTTGAGTGTCACAGACCCATGCACTTGTCTACTTTCAGCAACTATCACAAATATTTAGGGACATTACACTGCAAGACTTAATTAGTTTCTCACAAGTCAAGCAGCAAATGAAACCTATGTTTCCAAAAAGAAAGTTCTATTAAAAAGCAGGAAATTCTTTCAAAGGTTCAATCATATCATGTAGCTCCTCTCTGAACAGTCATTAGTGCTGTGCCCAGGCATCATTAATAAACCTTGTTCAAATCAGGCATAGGTAGATGACAGGATTTGTCAAACTAACCAAAGCACATGATGCAGAGCTTATGTTGGCTTGAAGTCATGCATCAGAATCTAACACACTAATGCTAAATCCTTCCACACTGGCATGATTTATACTTGTCCAGGACCTCAAGTAATTCCTAAAAAATGGGAGCAAGGTGTATTTTCTATCATCTTCCCCAGTTACATCTGAATCCTACTATCAAATTCCAAACTCTACTAGGCTACCTATAACTTAAAACAAAGCCAAGATGTATAAATGTGTGGCATCCTACACTGACTTATTTAGACTTTATTCTTTATATTTAGTACCAGAAATAACATTAAACCATCAGGTTCAGACAAAAATAATAAACCCTAGATCCCAAACACTAGATCAAGAGAGGTTCTGCATTAAAGGAATCTACATATTTTGAGAACAAAACCTGAAAATACAGAATATAGTTTCTCATAATTCGCTACCTCTGTTGCACATACAGTCAGAATGGCTGACCAGCTACGAATGCTTTATATAAAGCCTAATTTCTACCAATTCACATCACATTCGTGCAGCAGAGTCACTTGCATATCAGAAACCATTTTACTACCTGGAGAAGCAGAAAGGAAGAATGTTCTAGTATTACTTAACCGTAATAAAAAGCTGCTATAAATTGTCCCAGAAGGACAAACTGTAACTGGAAAAATTAACACACAAATAGAGCTTTCAGTATGCTCTGCTGAAGGGAACAAGAGCATCTTCATGTCTGAATGCTAATAATCAGTTACATATCATCTGATATAGTATAAAAAATTGCTTAGTGCTTCATGTAAGAAAATAATGAAATTAAAAAACATCTGCTGTTGAGTAGGGCAGACTAGGGAGCATGAATGGTTAAAGACGATACTCGAAACTTTCTGCATTATATTCAACAGCAGATGAACTTGCCTATCAAACTACACAGGAGTCGTCTGACTGTTCTTAGCAACTTACTATCTTATGTCAAAGTTTGAAAGAAAATATTACAAATGCGGGGGAGAATCTTAACTTTTTAATCAATGACAGAATTTTGGAACATATTAGTAACATAGCACAAACCTACAGTTTTTCAGAACTGCAACTGCAGTTCACTTAAGTAGCTCTTTTTCCTACATAGTTCAAAGCATGCCTCAGCTAAACCAAAATTATTGCATCCTTCCTTTGAAAAGGAATTCCAGACACTAATGCCCAGTGTCTTCAATGCAAGCCCTCCCTCCCAAGCAGACACCATGACAGAAGTGAACACTGATAGACCAGAACCAATTTACTGTACTACAAAACCGGTCAAGCAGGCCATTTTCAAAGAACCTCTGCTACATTCATCTCCACACTACAGCCCTGAACATTTATTTTGCACTACCAATGTGACACACATCTTATTAGGCATCTTTCATCTACCCTGTCACAAACTAAAGATACTAAGAATTTAGAGTCCTTTCCGATCCCCTGTCCCCTTTTGAGGCATCAAGATGAAAAAAAACTAATAATTCTTGACCCAAACTCCCAAACACTACCTCTGAAGTAATTGATAATTGAGTGGCATGTTCTCCCAGTTCTCAGCACACACTGCTGCCGCCTCAGCTAGTCCCAAAAACTACTGTAATCTGAATTCACAAATTTTATCGTGCTACTGAAATACACATATCCATTCCTTGTCTTAAAAATAAGGTTGGCTTAAAAATTACAAGCTTTTCAGACATTCAGTGAGAGAAAAGTCTGCTTCACAAAAAAGGGAACAAGCAAATCTTAATTCAAGATACTGTCTAACAAGACAAGAGGAGAGATGCCCTTAACCTAGTTAAAACAGGATTTGAAAAATCCAAATTTCTATTTCTGCAAGCATTTCTTCCAAGAGGCTTAATTAAAAAAAAAAATTTGCATGCAGAGATCATCCTGATTTAATACATAATATATCAGTGGTAAAATACTTAGTACAATACATCACTGCTGTAGAGCTGTAGAGACAAAATGATTTACCAAAAAGTTACCATGACTGAAGATGAGGCTAGATCAATTGCCGCAACTCAGATTATTTTACTTTACTGAAACCTGACATTGCTTTTTCTGAGCATCTCATCTACATGAGAGCACTGTAATCCTCTCTGGCCAAGGCTTCAAGAGACTGAACACCACACTATCAAGATATACAGACTATTGCCTCTAAAAGATTTATAAAGAATAGGATGTAACTTGCTACCTCATCAAGCTCTAAAAGAACAGTCAGTTTTACCTGAAACATATTCTCGTCTCTGTTACTGCTTTGCTTAGAAGAAGCTGCACCTTTTGAACTTTCACCAGTCTTTTGTTTCTTTACAGGCTTTTCTGGAGCTGCTTGCTTTTTCCGCTTTGCCTTAGAGCAAGAAAAAAAAAAAAAAAAGTCTGTTAGCCACAAATAAGTTTAAGTTAGATGCTTACTGTCATGCAATACACTCTCTCACCTCCCTCCACAAAGGTAGGACTCTAACACTGTACACTTATACTAGAATTTGAAAAAAAAAATCCAAATTGGCCTAATTCTGTTCCCAGTGAAGCTTGCCTGCCATATATTTTTGACCCAATTTAGCTCTCCTTAGCCTCAAAGTATTATTCTGAAAGCATTACCCGTTTGCAAGATCATACTCCCAGTTTACAGTTTTTACTAAAAAATCAGTCTGATGAAAATTTCAGCCACCTTTCAAGTATAATAAACATTACAGGAGAGCTAACAACTCTTCTAGAAAAGAAAAATAATAGATAATGAAGAAAGGATCTATCAGAGGAGCTTCTTTGTATTACAGTCCAATCTCTGACCATAGCATGATAAACAAAAATGTTCTTAATGGCATAGATGGTATCACCTGGGAATCAGATTACACTATTTACAGATGTCACAAAGTTACTGCTTCTACTGCTGGTTTTCTAGCAATCATGCTAGTTTTCCTCAGTTTCCTCAGAAACTAACGATACTAAAAATCAGATGCCATTGCCAGAGATATATTTGGTGGAACAGCTGCAAAAAATAAAGGAGCATACATATTACCATTAAAAAAGAACTGCCCATTGAAGAAGACTGTTTCACTATAACTTTGGGAATATATTTGCCAAAAAACTTCACTTGACTACTTTCTTAAATATTATGATTTGACATAACACATAATTTGATAGGTGCAACTAAGTGCAACTAAGTCACATGTCAACCAGTTCAGTAAAGGTACAGACTGAGCCTCTTCACGTGCCATATAAAAGACCTGATAACTGTGTTACCATTGAATATTTCTGAAAAAAAAGTAGGTGGTTTCTTTTTTGCATATAGTGCAAAATGGGTTTTTTGTGTTCATGATCGGCACATCTATAAAAACACAGTGTAAAAAACTATTAAAAATAATTAGAAACACATAATTTATTTGTTTAAGAATAGTTATCAGCAAATGCTAAAGTTAATCAACTTAAAGATATTCTGTTTGACTTGGTTTGTAAGTGAGAAACTAGCAGATGGTATTACCCTACACAAAAGAAATTGAAACAGAAAAAGAATATGTAAATAAGAAAAGCAAGAGGTCTATGACAGGGCAGCACAAGGTTGTTGTGCCTTTTTTTTTTTTTTTTTTTTTTTTTTTTTTAATTGTTTGGCATTGTCAAGTAATCCAGAAATCAAAAGGAGGCGACCTCAAAATTAATCTGAATTCTCGCCACCAGGGGTGGCTTAAACAGAATCCTTCTATCTCTTGCCACAGAGAAGTGAAGAATTCCAAAAAGTCTGGGGGTAGATATTATCACATGGAAAATCCTGAACTCAAAACATAAACTTAAGGGGAAGAAAAAAAAAAGTTCACTGTACAGCAGTATCTTATCTACCACCTCCCTAATCTTAGGTCTGATAAATCATATTCAGTGACATGCATTTTGTGACATAACAGCTACTTCCTTTCCCCAAGCCTGGAAAAAAGGGGAAAAAAAAAAAAAAAAAAAAAAACCAGACAGCTAGCAGAGTAGCAATAAACTGCTGTATGCTGCTCACCTTTTTGTCAACTTCACTATCTGAGTCACTAGCAGATGAGCTTGAAGACACAAGTTCCTTTGACTTGGGCATTCTAGGGAAGAAAAAAGTTAGCATTAGAATATTGTAGAAGGAATGCATTCTATAATGGCTGGAAAACATTCTCACTCAAGTCCCTTCAAAAGACTCAGCTCTGCATTTTCATACAAGCATTAATACATTTTACAGATGTGTCAGCAAATGTCCTTTTTTAATATCTTTGCTGTTGTTCTTACAACTACCTTAAACACAGATCTTTAGTCTCTGGACTGTTTAGAAAGTCTTTAAGGGCCCTAGGATGGTAGAAACTATTGGGAAAAGGTACAGCTCAGTACTACTCAACTTTATTTCTCAATAAATTTATAAGCTTATTCACTGAATTACTGAATTCAAATTACTGAGGGCCACTTCATTACCTACACCATCTTGGATATTTTGCTTATTTAGGTTTACAATTAGCAGCTGTGTAACCATCCTACATGAAGCTAAAAGTTACTACCAATAACAGAGTTATGAAAAAGAAAGTCACAGATTACAATGAACTATAGCATTGCAATTATTTTTTCTAAAGCAGCTTTGAACATTAGACACTAGAGCCTATTCATTTGATAAACAAGTAGACATTTAACTTTCCTTGAATGCATGCTGCCAGGTGTGCTCCTACATTGCTCTACTATGCAAACATGTGGTTAGACAGCAGTCGAACATCTTGTCTACTACTAGAAACTCATTGTGATAAACAAATAGCTCATTTGTTCTAAAAATAAGCACCCCAAAGAGAAACAGTTTGTTGTAAAACACACGCCAATTAGGAAAGGTTAGCAAAGTAATAAAGAGGAGCATGTTAGGAGATGAAAATTAAAAGAAAAAGGAATACTATGCAGAAAAGGACTAAGTTGGCATAACGGTGCAGTACTAAGAAGGGACAGGGCCTGGGATAAAAGCTCCAAGCACAATGAGAGCAGCCACAGCATGGAAAATTAAACGAGGCAGGGGCAGCACACACTGGCCACACTGCAGGATGAAGGCAAAGAACCGGAACAAGACAATACAAAGATCAGCATGGATCATCAGTGGAGCATGAGCAGGGGGCAGCCCCAGGGCCTGCGTCGGGGTGGAATAGAGGCAACATGGAGGAGAGTGGGGGCGGGAAGGAGAAACGGGATGAGGCAGGAGCACCTCGAGGGCAGCCGAGGAAGAAGCGGGGAGAGCAAGGCCAGAATGAGGACAGACAGAGGACGAAAAAAAAGGAGAGGTGAAAGGCAGGCTCGGACAGGCTGGGAACAACAGGCAGGCGGATCCCCGCCG